TTTTTTTTACAGATGTGTGCAGACACTCACTGTTGTACCTCTGTCCTGTCCTCCTCTGTAAAAGCTGATGAGCACTTAAACCAAAACATTTGAATTCATCACTTCATAAGAGCTATTGCCACTGATTTTCAGTGCAGCTCTGGTGCAATGTGGCATGCCTCAGCTTTTAATTCCCATTTCCCTTCCTTAAAAAAGGCTACTTGGCATCCACCCAGCCACTGAGACCATTTCTGATGAGGCTTAAGGGAAGAAGATGGATCAGCTAAACATAAGATAAGAACATAAACTAAGATGTCAAATCGTTGTATAGATGTATAGTTACAAGGAAAACATTTCTCTTTTTTTCTCCTCACCACAATAATAATAATAATAATAATGATAATAATAATTTTTCCTAATGTGTCCCTTATACTTCTCATTAGATGTCACAGTAACCATGTCCATCTTTTACACATCTATGGCCTTAACATTAAGCCTGATTAGGAAATGAATGCTATTACTGTGTTTGAGATCTTGTTTTTCCATGAATGAAAATGGAAGGCGAGTGTGGTCAAATACAACTGTTTAAGCTCTAAGAAGTCTTTTCCTGCTGCAACCACAACCTCAAGAGTACAAACGGATAACAAAACAGACAAAAGAGTAATTAGCTTTACTGCTAGGGGACACTATAGTTGACCTCATTTGGTTTTATTTACATTTTACACAGTTGACTTTGTAAAATCCTTAAAGTTGAATAAGGGCATGAAAAAGGCCACACTTCACCTGTTCTGTTCTGTTATGTGGAGAACCTGACACCGCCCGAAGTGACTTGTTATTCTTGTTTAACTGAACAGTATCACTAAGATCACAGCTTACCAAGCTTTATTTACGAGTGTGCATGTATGGGAGTATTGTCCACATCTCAGCCTGCTTTTACACACAGCCAAGTGAAAGTTAAAACTCTCGTGATCACACTGACCCCTGCTTGCAGATCCTCTGTCTTGCCCATTAAGTCATCCAGCCTTTCTCCTCGTGCCAGGATCCGGTCCACATTCTGAGTCATGATGCTTTTCACGCCATCCACCTGATCCTTTAGAGCCTGCACCTTGTCCTTAGGCTCTGGCATTTCTTCTATCCCTCCACGCTCCTGGTGTAGAGAAGGGTCATTAAAGAAGAGTTAGCTGCAATCCATTTGCAGAACCCCCCCACACACGCGCGCGCGCACACACACACACACACACACACACACAAAAAATAGCGTTGGCATGAACTGCCTACAAGCAGAGCAATTCAAAAAATAAAAAGTATCAGCTGGGTGAACAGTGAAGTCTGCTCATCAATCAAACATATGCTGCATGTAGCACTAGTTTGTTCTTTTGCTCCAATTCATAGACATTAAATAGGTGCAATTTTGAGATGGAAACTATGATATATCCTCTGATACTGATGCTTAGTTTGTTAATGGAAAAAAAATGTTAACCTGGTTTAGCGTCAGTTTTAACAAAACCAAAACGTGTCCTTCAGGCCTGAAAACTATAGTGCTATCTCCTGTACTTATGCTTTGAGACCTCAAAAATGTCAGAGTGACTGTCAGAATATCAAAGGTTCTACTTCTTTTGCAAACCTGTCTCTGGAAAATCTCTAAAGACTCACAGAAGTCCACAGCTAAATTACAAAAATATCTCTTTATAAGTCTTTGATGAGGCCCGGCCTCTTCATGTTTTATTGGACATGAGTACCTCCATGACTGTGTCTGCAAGTGACAAAGCAGCATGTAATGTAAATATGTCCTTTTGACCCATTTGTAACCACAGTATTTAATTACAAGCCCTTGAGCTGCACCTTGTGGCTGTTAAATTATCACTTTTATACATCCGTGAAAGTCTGCTAAGAGCATGTGTGAATTCAAGAGAAACTTCAGCTGTTACCTCACATAGCTGTACATGTGATTTCAACACAGAAATGCTGTGTGCAGTTGGGTGTGTGTCAGTAAACATGCAGGGACCACTCTGTCCC